TCTTAGTCACATCATATATAAAAAACATATATTATTATTATTATTATCATTCTCTGTGATTTTAAGACCCTTACTGCAAATTCTCCCAAGACTAAATCTTTCCCTAATGTTCTTGACCACACGTCATCATACAAAAACGACTCTCAAATCCCCCAAAATAACCGTTTAAGTTAAAGATGGTTAACATTTGCATGGGGCGGATCTAATCGCGTAACCGCTAATCACGTGTCTGTTCTATTTAACGTTATGAAAAGCAAATACTTTGTTACAAAATGGTTTTAGGAAAAGATCAAGGTAATTCATTTTATTAAAGTAATGTTTTTAGTTAAATACATTAAATAAGATATGGGGTTAATACAAGCTCAAGGGATTTGGATGGATGGATGTCTTCAGCTTATATTTGTTATAAAAACTACAGCACAGTCACATGACCACCGCTGAGTTGGACTTGTTAGCAACCTTAGTTTTTAAAACACATAGAAGCTTCAGACGTTTACCAGTGAGGTATTTTAAGATCATATATTACATTACATCACATGTTACTTGTTAGACGCTTTTATCCAAAGCGACTTATATACTCAATACTGTGGACAATCCCCACAGGAGCAATTTGGGGTGAAGTGTCTCAAGGACACAACGACATGCTGACTGCAGTGGGACCCAGACTTGCTACCCTCTGATTCGAAGATCAGCGCATTAGCCCACTGCGCCACACGCCTCCCTCGTCTATCAGGCAACATACCAGAAACCAGTCAAAAAAAACTCTTGACTTAAAGACGAGGGAACCATAGCTGGTAAAATAGTCAATCATTTCCAGCTTTTAGGACTCGTTCCTGCACATTTTATAGCGTTAGCCTCCTGTTTCAAGGTAAGGTTGAAATCTGAAAGTTAAACCGACCCATCTGCTGTGAGGGTGAATGATAACAGGGAAATAGAGAGGGACGCACACTGACCTCTAAACCCAGCCGGCCCCAGAGTCCCAAACGATTTGCTTTAATTCATCACCACATGTTGCCATGAGACACAATCCAGACAAAAAGTACTTTCTGCCAAATATGTACACAGAGTCTGCCAAGGGTTGCACATGAGAAAGTTTTCTGGAACTCCCTCTAGACTTCAGATGTATTTCAGTGAATTATACCTTACATTTACTGCAAATACACAGCTTTCACCTGCAAGATTCATGCTATTGTGCTTTGATTCATGTAATTAAAGTCTGTGAAACACTACATTACAGTATATCCAGTCATCGTGACTCGCTAAAGTCATATTTAGTTTGTTTGGGTACAGTCAGAATGAGTGGGTGGATTATAGTGGAGAGTGTGCAAAGTCAGAAATTCTCATTAGACAACCTCAGCTACGAGGAAGCTCAGTCATTTCCTCTCTGCATGCCAGCAATGTTAAAGAGAGAGAAAGACATATAAACAGACAGGAAATTAATGTTGAACTTGCGATTAAGTTATAGACAGAAGAGCATGAAAGGCGCTGAGGGAATAATGGAGGAAGGAAAGAAAATGGAAAGCCTATGAGACTAAAGGACAGTAAAATATCCTCTTGATCCAGGATGAAAGACGAAACGAGGACGCAGGGAAACATTAAGAGCGTACAGTAGATTTCTCCTCTGCTCTTGGGTTTGGTAAATGGCGAGCTCAGCAACAATCTGCCAGTCTGACAGGAAGAACAATTAGTTTTGAACCACTGCTTCTTGGTTTTCAGATTGGCTTTCTCACATCGTGTCGGCCTGCTGCACTTTATAATACTTCAACTAGTAACAGGTTTATTGCCAAGTAGGTTAACACATACGAGGAATTTGCCTTTGTTTATTTGGTGCATACATAAACACAGTCAAAGAAGACAAATTGTAAGAAAAGGACCACAATATATAGGGTGAATTGCCCTAATGTGGGACATCTTTTGCATTTCAGACTTCGGGAATATATTGCGATATGAAGCCGATACAATAAATCAACATCAAGTACCATTCTGAAATCCCCAGGATGTGTCCTAATCAAACCAAAAGAGAAAATGCAGATATTACACTCATAAAAGAAATGGTAGACATATAAGTACTCTTAGTGCCAAGTTGTCTCAGACAATCTGCATTTCCTAATGTGGGACAGTTCTGTGCAAAATGTGGGACACTGAAAAGTATATGTTAAAAAGCCTCAGTCACCTTAATTCATGTAATAAAAACATCTCAGGTCAGTAACACTCAAAGCTAAATGTGCAATACCATGTTCAGCTATGTTACTATTTATAATGTTATTGTTTTTACAACAGAAGATGTTTTTCTGTAAATTGAAGTTAAATGCATCAATCTGGTGCACTTTGAGGGCAAAATTAAGAGATTTATGGATACAGCTCTCAACACTCATATGAAACAGAACTGTATATTTCAATAATCCAAAAACCATTAGAATATGCTCACAACCAATAACACATATTTGATGTGTTATCTCTCCTATCTTTATCTTATCTTAACACTATGTCATTGACCTTTGGGTGGTCTTCACACATGGTACTTCCTGTTTAAAGATTTGTCCACCCTCATCTGTGATTGGACATTTGAGAAGTCATGTGATTTTGATCGCATGACATCACAGCTTGTGTTAACCCGTAGTTTCATTGACTCTCATTTGTTTGCGGAAGACCTACACCCATTTGAGCTTAAGTGTCCCACACTAGGGCGTGTCCCACATTAGGGCAACTCACCCTACAATACCATATATACCAGCTATTTAAAGATACACCCTTTCTGTCAAGTTCTTTGTGTTTTTAGGTTAGGATTATGCTGCGTTCACACCGGACGCGATGCGATGTTTGGGGGCGGCGCGATTACATGTAAAGTCAATGCAGAGACGCGGACAGATGCAAATTCACTCCGACGGCAAGCATGATGCGAATTCCGCGGCGTGATTGAGGCGATCGAAGGGGGCCGCGACAAACGCTCGAGTTGGCACTCAGAGCTCACAGCTCCTCTTATCTGTTCAGAAACTAGACAAAAGTGAAATAAGTACAAACCGCAGACTGTCTGTGTCATGGCGAATACAGTCGCTGGTTTATTTATGTCTGTAGGCCGTTGTTGTGAGTGTGGACGGTCGGAGCATATACTGCGTTAGCTTAGCCTCCATTCAGAAAACACGCATTCTAAAAGGTTTTTCGCCTGCCGTCTGTCTGCAGACTTGTCAAAGCATTAATTCATGATTTTTACTAACCGGTATGTTGTTACTTCGGCATCATTTTGAAACATGTATTACAATGAAATCACGGTAAAATATGTTCATTTTGTTTTAGTCAGTGCGTCTTGTTTGAATGATGAGAGTAAACACAGCTGACAGCCGCGGTGAAACTCGAGCGGTTAGAGCGAAGCGAATATTCGCATCGCGTCCGGTGTGAACACAGCATTAGAGGATGCATTGCACAATTCAATCCCTTTCCTTTTAGACAGTTGAATTATTTCAGAATTTACAGGTTCAGGCTCCTCAATTACATTTCCAATACTTTTCAAATGTATTCAAGACATTCTTAGCTTTAAATATATAACTTCATATAAATTAAATGCATTTTCCTAAATTTCTACCTATTTTTAAATTAATCTTCTTTCAAATAAATTATTAAATGCTTACATTTGACTCATTCTATAATCCTCACATAAAGCACAACTCAATCTTCTTTATGAAAATATTCTTCAGTAATTTTTTACTTTTTGAAGTTTTCTTAAAATAAAAATGTCATTAAATACATTATCTTAAAGGTGGGGTAGGTAATTCACTTCAGAAACACTTTTTGTTGTATTCCATGGAATGCTCTTAACATCCCGATAGCAATGAATATATTAAATGCTTTGACAATAAATACATAAACATATTTAATCTGTGGAAGGCGTGGCGCTGTAAAAAGCACGACCAATCATCTGAGCCGGCCCGGCTAAAGTAACTGGATGGCCTACCTGCCTGTCAGCCTTCCTTCTGTGCACAAATGTATCTCGTGCCCTCATTGGTCATGTGCACGTTCGTGTGTGTTGGAGGAGGGGCTCTGTAAGGAAGTCTGATTTTTTTCTGTTACATACTTTCAAATTCTAGCGCACTCGAGCTGGTTTTTCCATTCTTACCTACCCTACCTTTAAGTCTATATGTTATTCTAAATATAAACCCCTCTAACCATCAAGAAACCTTCTTTAAAATGAATTATTATAAGCAATAATTCAACCCATACTGATGCTCACATAACACAAATATAACTGTTAAATAACCAACTCTAAACATTGCAGCGCTGCGTAAAAACACTGTATTATCAAATGAAATATAAAGGCTAAAAACCAAATGAGCTCCACCATAATCCTCAAACATTACAATCTGGCGTTAAAGTCGCAACGGAGGAACATAAACAAATTCAAACAACTTTCTTTCTCATACATTCACTACTCTTTTAATCCAGTTTGGATTTTTTCTTGGCCATTGTACCATACTTCCCCCCTCACCCAGTTTCCCTCTCCTCTCAGCAAATTCCTGCCTGACTGTAGCGTACAGCTGGCTCGACTTATTCCCTCCCCCCGGTCTGCTTGATAAGCTTTGGTTTTTGTGGCCTGGGGGCCTTTCGAGCCTTGTCTGTTCATCTAAAGCTGCTGAAGAAATACCAGCGTTGTGCAAACCCAACTGGAGTGGAAAAAGCCTCTTAATGTGTTTAAGTGACCGTGATAATTGAACTCACTGGTGTTTGGAAACAAGTCTAAATGCTGTGTTTGGGTAGAAATGAAGATGAAGCAATCCAACCATCAGTGAGTTGTCCCATTCCTAAAAGTCATGTTTGTTTGAGAAAACCAGTAAATAGCTTTGGAATGAAAAGCTTTTATTAATGTAGTCACTTGCTCTCAACAGATGTTTAAAGTTCCCATTCTTGTGTATTTTGTGATTATATTGCAGCTCTTGTTATTTGACATATCATTGTTGAAGTGCATCTGTTCACACCTGTCTGTCTGTCTTTCCTCCCCCCCCCCACAGTTCAGTCCTGTAACGTCAGGTGTATGAATGGCGGCAGCTGTGCAGAGGACTCCTGCTCCTGCTCAAAGGGATACACAGGAAACCACTGTGGACAGCGTGAGTCAAATCTGCACCGTCAGCACACCTTGGTGCATGGGGGGGTATTTGAACTGTGTCAGAGCAAAGACCAAATGTCTTCAGATAGAAAATGGAGATTCTGCGAATTGTCACCACTTTGAGAGACTTACTCTACATACTATACATACAGTATTTCTGTCTGTATATTTACAAGTATGCAGCTTATATAGCAATAGGACAATATAGAAAGACTATTGGTCAAACCTTTACTTACAGCATGACCAATCAGAGACACCATAAACTAAGACATTTTAGGTGTCTTTGCCAATTACATAGTTAAACTAGAAGATTGTCTAAGTAAGAGAACAAACATTCACTTTTGCCAAATGCCCAACTCCCAATATTAACATCATTTATTTAGAGTATCTGATCCAAATTATAGTCGGTTCTTTCTTGGAACTTCCTTCACCCTCTCACTAAGCTTTAGGGGAAATCAGTCATGCAGTTTTTTCCGTAATTTGGCTGACTGACAAACTATCCAACCTGAAAACATGAACCCCTTTGTGGAGGTCACTGATAAGTCCTGTGTAGTTCTTTAAGTCTTGATTTCTGGGTAAGAACATTTAAATAGAGCATGAAGTGATGGTTTCATTAGTTAAAGAATTAAAGTCATCAATGAGAATCCTCACACATGTTGGTTATACTGATATAGAATACGATACAAGTCTCATTTTAAGTTTTATGAAACATTAGGGTTGTGCTAAATGTGTTTTTTCTATGTGAATAACTCTTTTTTTCTCTGTCTCCTGTAGCTGTGTGTGAGAACGGCTGTCAGAACAGCGGCCGCTGCATCGGGCCCAACAGATGCGCCTGTGTCTACGGTTTCACTGGCCCGCAGTGCGAGAGAGGTGAGAAATCATCCTCTTTCGGTGTTAAAACAGCGCTTTGTGATTTTCCACTGTCTTCCTCTCGGCTCGGTTTGTATAGCAACAATACAGGCCTGCTGGTACTAGACCTAACTTACACATCCACTACAGCTTTTGGGGAGAAAAAACCTTTTTTCCATTAAACTGTCCATTGTTTTGATCTTGCAGACTAATTTACTGGTATCTTTGACCTACTGTTACTACCGTACTGCAACAGTAAATGGACCTCATACCTCTGCAGTTAGGGATAATAACTGGCATTACCTGTGAGCTTATTTAATTCACCTCTAAATATTTATTTGATATGGCTGAAGTGAGCATGTGGGTTATGCTTATGTAGCTGCTTTTCATTCCCTGTCATGTTGCTCAGCTATGAACTTGTTGATGGAAATATAATTATGATCAATGACAAAAAAAGGCCAATACTGGTTTGAAAGTAAAAAACTGGTTAGTAAAAACCGTAACGTTTGTTAAAAAGAAAACTCCTGGTGTAAGGCTGCTGGATATTGTCATGTGATGCCACAAGATATGCACTCAAAATTATCAAATTAACTCAAATATCGTACATTTCTTTAACTGTTTGATAGAAAAGGATAACTTGAAAAGCCTCAATTTCCATGATTTTATCTGTATGACATTACATAATTGATTGTGACTTATGTCTTCATTGACATCTTTGTTGCTAGTATAAGTGACAATCAGGATAGGCATGCAGAGCCAACCACCAATCACAATCATTCTTAATAAATATTCTTATTTATTTATTTGTTTTACAAACTAAAGCAGGCCCTGCTAGTTTTCAAGCACCATATTTCTTGAATATGAGCAAGGAACAACACAGGAAAAAAAATCAACTGTGGCTGTAGAGGCTACTTTGTCGTCAACTGGTGGAAATTAGTCATTTTTCATATTGCAATATCAAAATGTAGCAATGTCAACATCGTGCAGCCCTACCACCATGAATTCCTTGACGTCATCGTTTATCAAGCATGGGAGTGAACCGACCCTCCGTCATCAAGACTCCCTACACACTAATGTTAGGACGATATCAGACCAGGAAGGCTTTGATGTGGCTGAGCAGTCATGAGCTATCAGTCAGACGTTCAGAGTCAGTGCTGCTGAGAGTTCAGGCTCCTCCAACGGGATGACTTCATCAGACAGCTCAGACAGGCGGTGGGTGTCCGTCTCCTGAGCTCTGAACAGAAGTCAGAGGTATGTGTGTGGTGGGAAGTGATGGTGGGGTGTTGGAAGTAGGTGGTGCAGTCCCAGTGCAGATGGGAAAAATACCTGAATCTGTTCACCTCAGTTCACCTCAAAGTGAATGAGACTACTAAAGGTCATCACTCCGTAGATTAGCCGTCTTTAGCTAAGCGGTTGCTAACAAGTGTCTAAATGAGACTACTAAACGTCATCAGGCTCAACATTAGCCACCTTTAGCTTAGTGGTTGCAAACAAGTGTCTAAATGAAACTACTAAACGTCATCATGCTCAACATTAGCCACCTTTAGCTTAGTGGTTGCTAACAAGTGTCTAAATTAAACTACTAAACGTCATCAGGCTCAACATTAGCCACCTTTAGCTTAGTGGTTGCTAACAAGTGTCTAAATGAGACTACTAAACGTCATCAGGCTCAACATTAGCCGCCTTTAGCTTAGTGGTTGCTAACAAGTGTCTAAATGAGACTACTAAACGTCATCAGGCTCAACATTAGCCGCCTTTAGCTTAGTGGTTGCTAACAAGTGTCTAAATGAGACTACTAAACGTCATCAGGCTCAACATTAGCCGCCTTTAGCTTAGTGGTTGCTAACAAGTGTCTAAATTAAACTACTTAACTTCATTAGGCTCAACATTAGCCACCTTTAGCTTAGTGGTTGCTAACAAGTGTCTAAATGAGACTACAGTACTTAACGTCATCAGGCTCAACATTAGCTGCCTTTAGCTTAGTGGTTGCTAACAAGTGTCTAAATGAGACCACTAAACGTCATCATGCTCAACATTAGCCACCTTTAGCTTAGTGGTTGCTAACAAGTGTCTAAATGAGATTACTAAACGTCATCAGGCTCAACATTAGCCACCTTTAGCTTAGTGGTTGCTAACAAGTGTCTAAATGAGACTATTAAAAGTCATCAGGCTCAACATTAGCCACCTTTAGCTTAGTGGTTGCTAAAAAGTGTCTAAATGAAACTACTAAACGTCATCAGGCTCAACATTAGCCGCCTTTAGCTTAGTGGTTGCTAACAAGTGTCTAAATGAGACTACTAAACGTCCTCAGGCTCAACATTAGCCACCTTTAGCTTAGTGGTTGCTAACAAGTGTCTAAATGAGACTACTAAACGTCATCAGGCTCAACATTAGCCACCTTTAGCTTAGTGGTTGCTAACAAGTGTCTAAATTAAAGTACTTAACTTCATTAGGCTCAACATTAGCCACCTTTAGCTTAGTGGTTGCTAACAAGTGTCTAAATGAGACTACTAAACTTTAGCTTTGCTGTTTTGACGTGAAGTGAACTGGCTGTTTGTCTATAACATAACGTTAGCAATGACATTTAGTTTTCAACTATACTAAAGGTGGTGTTAATATGTGGAGATTATCCCACTAAACAACATGTATAAGTATCATAAACGTGTTTGCCAAAGATCAAACCACTTGGCTTAGGCTACTGGTATTTGGATATTACTCTTGTGATTTTGATTACATATTGATTAATAACGTAGCCCTATCCCCCTCTTCCTCCTGCTGTTACACTGAAGAAGAGGCACGTTTTAGGCCTAGGATTTTACATGCCTTACCTCATTCAAGTTTTTTTCCTGCTATCCTACATATATACTTAAAAATGTTTGTATAAAACATCAATTGTCTTCTTCTTCTTCACCTATTTGTCATGTTCTAGCGTTCCTCTTATTCTCCATCCCTTAAAGTGTGACTCCATGGAGCTCTGGGTTCTTGTTTTCTTGGAAAATACAACATGTTGGGAGTCAAGTTGGTCAGAGGGAGCCTTAAAGACATCTGGCAATAAATACCCCCACCCCCCACCCACACACTACCACCTCCACCTTCCCCTGACATCCCCACAGGACTGACAGAATAGACTTTCTTTGTAGAGCGAGTGTGGACATTTCCTGACGAAGACTGGAGAAAGCTAGGCAGGCAGAAAGAGAGGAGAGGGAGGAAGAAGGGAGGGACCGGGTGAAAATGAAAATGGTCTCCCCAGCTGTGTACACAAAGAGGGACACTCTTCATGCTGAGGGAACGGACAGACTGCAGGTATTCACAGGGGAAACACTTATAAATCTTTGTTTGTGTGTGAGCTCTCTGCTGCCAAATATCCCTCAGCGGGAGAAGAGTCGGAGCAAAATGTATCAAATCAACTCCATAATTCACAAGACATCATATTAGTGACAGCAGACTTTAAAAAGATCCCAGCCACTGTGTGCGTGGGATGAGAAAGTTGGACCTCAGTAATTTGAATTTAATCAGCTATTTGTCAACGCAGCTTTAGCAAATAGGTCGCTAAGGACGTTTAAAAGATTGTCATCCAGTTTGCCAGAAAACAGTTTACATTTGTTAGCGCCCTGACAAGAACATTCATTATTAAATTGAGAGAAATATCCTGTGGGATACTCAATAATTGTGATTAATGACCACCAGTGTATCTCTTTAATATTAGCTTTGGCTTGGAATTAAATGGGAGTCCCTGGTGTGAGCTTCGGGGTTGTTACAGTATGACTCTGTTGCGGTTTGAGAGTTTGTGCAACTGAGTCAGTGAGTCAGTGGATTTACGATGATTCAGTGAAAGACTGCAGATGAACTGTGATTGTGAAGCCAGTGAAAGTCCACCAGTGTGTGATGGATTCATGGGAAACTCCTCCGTGTTCGCGTGTCTGGGATGTGCAGCGTGTGCCTGAGGTTAGCAATTGAGTTTGGTTAGCAAGAGATATAGTTAGTCATCCCTCCTAAATGAAAACAATCCAACCATCTCTACCATGAGTGCCATTATTCTGCAGTTTCTATATGCCAACGTCTTGCTTCTGTATATTAATGCATGCTTCCTATATGCATACCTTTATGTGGGTTCAGTTTCCCAGAGATGCTAGTATGGCTTCATACTCTTAATCTTATCTAAGTATTATATGCAACAATAAGTGTGTGAATCAAAGTCTTGTGTGTTTTCACATCAGTACACCTGCATGTGTCCGGCAGTGGCTCAGTCAGTAGGGGATTGGACTGTGAGCTTTAGGGTCGCCGGTTCAAGTCCCCGGACAGACCTAAAAATGGAGTGTGGACTGCTACTTGGAGAGGTCCCAGTTCACCTACTGCCCTGCTGTGGTGCCCTTTATCAAGGCACCGGACATCCCCCTTCCCCCCTCACTCCCATTGCTCCCCGGGCGCTGTACAATAGCTGCCCACTGCTCCTAGTACTAGACTCCTGGCACTATGGGTTAAAAGTAGGGTTGCCAGAAACTGACCATGATCAAAATCGATTATTCGGCAGCCCTGGCGAATAATAATCGAATAATCGAACTAACTTCAGGTCAAAACATACAATAGAAATACTAAAACTATAATGAGGGAAGCCAAAATGTGTAAAATACGTTACTGAGCGCTAGTTTGAAAAAAACTGAGCTCTTGTAAAACCAAAAAAAGTTTAGTTATTTGTACATAAACTAAAGAATACCTGACGATAACATATGGAAAATAAAACATTAGGACTCATTAAGTCTGGACTGTGGACCTGTGAAACAATGACTCGGTCCCACTTCATGTGTCTGCAGAGCTTTGACTCTTCTTGTTGAGTCCAGTCCGTCTCAGTGGACGTAAACTGGCTTTTCTGGTCAATCCCAATCCCAGCCAGAGACAATCAAGTGGAAATCACAGAGGAGAAACTCTCCCTCCAACAGGCGGTGATGTCAGGGCCGTTTGGAGGAGCTGGAGGTGTAGGAAGCGGGGCTATTTCTGCTCTGTTGACTCTGGATAAGAGCGGA